ATACACCTCTATGGCCTTTAATTATTGTAACAAAAACATTTCAATCATTTTAATCATCTTAATACATTCACTAAATGTATTGTTACTAGTTTTATTACGTAATCTAGTATTATAATCTTTCTATTACGTCATCTTCGTTATTCGTGTTCATATTTCTTCACGGAATTAGTACTTTAACAAAAAAAAATTCATATATATACGATTGCACAGCTTGATAATAAATTCGTTGAAAAGAGATCCCTTTGCCGAACTTCGTGTTTTTAATTTTTAATGTGTAGAGGGGAATTATTTGTCAAATCTGATAGTCTATCAAAGTTCTTGAAAACTCAAGTGTGATTTATTTCAACAATAGACAAGTGTCAAAGAGAGTAAAATACTTTGAGCACTGTCCGTTATCAGAATACTTCTATCCAACAGTTAGCTACATGAAGATTTATGGTTAAGGAACTTTTTATCACGAATCTTTGAAGGAGAATAAAAAGGTGGTTTTTTCAAATTATTTTGAGTCAATGTTGGTTACCTCTTAACTACGTTTTACTATTTGTTATATTTTATTTTTCGTATGTGGGATTTCGGCTCACATAGTTTTGTGCTGAACGAGCTCAACTGTTCATTGAATTTTTCAAACTTTTTTTCGCTTGAATTTCCGAGAGAAATGTTTGTCATTTTTTAGTCAATCGAAATGTTTCCGTACATATTTAACTATCAAATTAGGGAGGTAGCTTATAAAAGTATATTGTTTCTAGAAGTAGGAGGATGAAGGCAGAATTTTTCTAATCCGTGTATGATGTTTCACTTAGAAGCTTTCGTACCTTTCAATGGACAGAACTGATACTTACTATGTTTTTTAATTAATGAAAAACATATTTTTGTCGAAATTGTTTAAATCGATTATTACTTTTAAAATGTGAATTTAGTGTGATTAAGAACTATTCAGAAATAATTGTAGAAGATGAAGACTTTATGACCACTTATGAAGCATGAATCAAGCGACATGAACAGTTTGTAAACTTCTAAAACAGGAAACAGGTCAGATGTTAATCAAGAACGAGTTCATAATTTCCCTATTGAATATTTCAAAAGAATCCAAGTTTTAATAAAACTTTCAAGTGATATTTACAGGTAACCAAAGTGTTAATATCTGGATGTAAATTGATTTTACAGAAATATAAATTAGTACTTAATACAAAGGCTAAATCACAACATTATCGTTCTGCATTATATTTTGTGCTACTTTCACAATGTTTTTATGAATGTTAAATAAACAGCTTTTGTTTGTTTTATCTAAGTTATCCTCACATTTCAACGATTCAAGGTCACGCTGCGGTAATCAGCCTAGTTCTTCTGGAACTAAAAGGTAGTTTAAAAAGTATGATGTACATTTCTAAAGATCATTTCCTTCATCTCGTTGATGCTCTCCGTCCTACAAAGACAATTTAAACACACCAAAATACTTTCAAATAAGAAAACGAGCAAGGCATTTCATTTATCTACAAAACAAAATTAGCTTATTATTCTATAATTCATAAACACATATATTGCACTACCCAAAACAAAGTCAAAACATTTATAATATTTCTTGGCAGGAAGTCTATTTTAGATGTACGATATAGATAAATTCTTTGGTTTGTCTGGAATTAACGGCTATGATACTTAGAATTAGTAAATGTGATTTTAATGCTCTGTAAACGTTCTGTTTATTACATTTTGCACTACGAAAGTTATAACTACCTACCAGTTAAAATAAATATTTCGTAGCACTTACAACGGTGGTAAATTATATTATCATACGGAATGGAACACATTTTAGGAATCATTTGACTCTTAAAAATATTCGGTTTTATGGGTCATTTTTAGTTAGTCAACAAACTTTCATAATAAAATACCACGAAGTGAAATAAATTATTAACGGATTTGAAATCTTATTGTATTCCTTAATCGAAATGGCGTCTAAAGACGAGTGAATACATTATATCATTTGTAGAGGAAATGGATCAACAGAATTACTGGAAGTAGACCAGAAAAGATTATTTTCACTAATTTGTGAAAACGTTCCTTTACTTCAAAACGTTCAAAACTTATGGATGGGAGTATCGGTTCATAATCAGACGACTGTTAACTAACAATGTAAGAAACGTACATAGAGAACCTAGCATTAAACTAAAAAACGCTAAAAGTATGAAGATTATATAAATTATCCCAAAACCAATGCAGTCCCCCCCCGCCAACGTATTTTTTTTAGTTGCTAACAGTTGCGAACTGAATTCCTAAAACTTTCTAAACAATGGATAAGCAGAAAAAAAGACCACCTATTTTGAGTTTCGTTATCCTCGAAAGATTAAATAGATTATGTGAGGGTAAAATGTTTGGAATTAAAAATGAGTTGTGTTAGAATTAATATTAAGAATCATTACATTTTTGAAAAAAAAAGAAGATTCTTGTTCATAGATATCTTTCTGAGATGAATTATTTCCACTTAAAAGAAAGTGATTACATTGATAAAGTCAATATTATGAAAATCATTTTATAAATAAGAAAAAATTAGTAGTTTGCCTGATTGTTTATGATGAAATCATAGTAGTCGTACGTCAATTGGAACAACAAATGTCTAGATAGTTAAACGTTTTCACTTTAAATTTTTATTTAATTTCTAGATTCTTATCATAAGCTTAACTAGATTTGAACTTTCATTTGTTCCAACTGTTTCGTGATTACGTTGGAAAGACGTATCAGAAGATAATTATCAGTCTTATATAATAAAGATTTATGTACTTCTTAATATTGAAAGTGTTTTGTTTAGTACTGAATAAGCTCATATAGAAAGTCAGTCTTTTTGCATGAAAACATTTTTAGAATATTGTTAATTCATAGTTTCAAGAAAAAAAATCATATTATCTTCTTTTCATCAAAATTTTAACTGTTCACTCCATAGATAAGTAGGGTGACTGTTAATCTAGAAAGAGCTATCACCCAACATTCAATATGAAAGTAGTTAATCTAATAAATTTTACTGTGTAAAACAGTCTATCATAAAGTATATTCATCTTACTTACCAAAGTTTCTAACCTAAAAAATTCTAACATATTTGACTTCAGACATATGAGTGAATCTGATCATCAGAATAAAAGAAATATTAAAACTATTTCTAATTACAAATAATTTAGAGCTTAACATGACAACCATTATCAATTAGCTAATCATTGATAAAAAAAGACATTCACTTGAAAACAGGATTATTGTGAATGACGTCCGAAAGTATAATACAAATGTTATTCAAAATATATTCCAGACAACTTTAAATTAGATGACAACAACAAACGACAATAAATGAGCTGAAGATAATTTGAAGTGAAAAAATAAATTGTAAATCTGAAACACCCTTTACTGTGAATTAAATTCAATCCACGAATTCACATGTAATAAGTAATTCACAATATTATCGTAATTTTGCAAGTATTTCAATACACCTAAAACATACTATTTTACCTGTTGTTTGTGAAGTTAGTTAGGCTTTAAAACATTTGTCTCAAGTGTTATTTGTTTCAACTTCCCCTCAGTCTATTTTAAACATCCTGCATTAAGAAACATACTTAAAAACTGCGGAGCTTTACAGTAACGATAAACATCAATTAAGTGCTCTAATGTTTTCAAACATTGAAGTATAATCAATTTTCTGTAGATGACGAGTAATTAATCACTTGGTTGGTTCATCTGAATATATGGCGAACAATCAGCTTAGTCAACATAACAACACAAACTTTTATTTGTTTACTGATTTTCATTGTATGCTTGCTGTAACAATCGAAAAATGCTAATCAGGAGATATATAGTTAATGAAATTTTTATTACATCAGATGCACTTATACATACACTTGTTATCGTAGCCCACTTTTCACATCAAATGTGTCACATTCAGTACAACATATCTTACTTTCAACATTGTTAAGAAGATTCGATGACTTTTTTTAGTATACAGTTAACCGGTGAACCATATATTTATAGTCGATATTTTGGATGTTTGATTAAATTTCATTGAAAAAGCTTCCACCAGGCTGCCAAGCGAAATGTTGGATTTACTTAAATTTCAATCGTTGAAAGTTTCACAAATATGATTCCCTTCTTAATGTCTAACATTGACTCGGCGGCCAACCACTGTGAAAATTTTCGTTCAAATTTAGACAAAAGTTCTTATAAAGAATATCAGAACATTAGAGGTATCAAAGGTCAGTCCCACCAGTCGAAGAAAAAAAGCATTTAAACAACACCATAAAACTGTTTGTTGAAGATGTATATTGAAAAGCGATCTTTTGACAATCGTATACTAAAGTGTTATTTTGATAAAAGTGACTTCTCTCGACAACCCTAAACACATATCCAAATTCTTTGGAGAGGCTTTCTTGATATTATGAACAACTTGTATTTCAGACAGTATATTCCACTGACTTTACAAATAAAGCCAATATAATTAAGTAACCTTGATATTCCTTTTAGCAAAATATATTTTTACATTATAAATTCTCTTAAGTAAGCCTACTTTAGGTTTATTGTCTTTCTCGAATATCCTCGTTAGGAAATATGTGTTGGTAATTTAGGATCACAATTGAATTTTGTCATACAATTCAACATATGCCAAAAAACATTTACCATGCAGGTTAAACAGACCAATAAAACGTATTTAATATTAATAGTATTTAGTGACATATAACCTAAAGGGCACATTATAGAGCAGATAAATCCTCAGTTGATACAAACAGATATATTAATGTAAAAAGTAAGTTGTGATGGTGATCAACGTTTGTCTAATTTTTGTATAAATGCTAATAAAAAATCTGATTACACCGAGTGCAGTATATATTTGTCAATAATGTGTCTAATTCTTATCTTTCAGTCACTCTAAAAATAACTTGAATGATACTTTTCAGGTTTGTACGTTCACTTAGCTTAACGAACATTTAGTATACTATTTGTTTTTGTTTTTTTATCATTTCCTATTTTTATTTAAACAACAATTGCGTAAGCAGTGAAAAGAGTAATTTTCATCGGTCATCATCTACCACAAATTTTGATTTCGTGATAACATTTACCACTCATGCTTGTCACATGAAAAACTATAAGATATTCTGCGAATATCACCTTCCACTGATAGATAAAAGTAGATACCTGTTAGTCAAGTCAATGCACAGGGGTATCATCTTTGAGTTAGCTATTGAATCATCATTTACCATTCATGGGATTGTATCAGCAGCAATCACTGACTATTCAAAATGATCAGTGTGTATAACTACTGTTTTATTACAGATCCATAACTATTTATCTTATGATAAAATACATTTTTCATGAATATTTAGAACTTCATAAACAACCATAATGCTTGAAATTATTACATAATACAGTTGAATGATAATCGGTTGTACAGTAGAAATCGATTTCGGTTTCTTTATCAAATCAAATTGTAGTACATACTTTAGATTGGATTACGCAAAAAACTAACGTTCCTCATAAAAGTTACTTGATGTTCACTACATTACTTCAGACTGAGATTAATAGTAAGTTATAGAACAAAAAATTTCAAGTTCAACATAGCAAACGTGTCTAGGTGAAACGTAAGCTATACAAAATATATGTTAATAAATCAAAAATGAAGCTCCTTGTTTATTTTCATCAGACAAGCAGGTCTTTTAGTCTGTTGAAAAAATTCCAAATGGATAAACAAATTATTTCTTTTTAGCATTCAGTGTCATTTTCTTCACCTAAAGTTTATTATCAACATTTATAATCGGTCAGTCAGCTACAACGTAGGACCAGGCACATAGATGCATCGGTCCAAGTTGCCACAACTCGTTAGCACAACAAGATGAACACCAAATTCATAGTAGTTGCTTCAATAGTAGTAATGTGTAAACGAAAGATTGTGCATAAGAATATAGTACAGGAAGAAAGAATTGGTTGGAAAAAGAAATATATAAAGCGATTTTAGCCTCACCGTTTAAGGGAAGACAAACAGTGTATACACTGACACTATTGGGACCGATTCTGAGCCATGTCACCAAGAGTCTCCAACCATTGGTTACGATAGTCACGCGGACCCCAACCAAGTAGTCTGCATCTACCAACATGGCTCAGACTAGAAGTTAGTGACTTCAAGCACTGATGCCACGTTTTGGTTTGGCTGCCCCTAACTTTCTTCCAACCATCCCCAACACCAGTTAGCATTGTGCGTCGTGGTAATCGGTATTTAAGCATACGTAACACGAGTCCCAACCATCTCAGTCGATGAAGATTCACAACCTAATCAACTGATTTACCTTGTGTCTAACCTCACTATTACTTACTCGGTGATTCCAGAAGACGCCAACAATATTTCTGAGGCATCTGTGGTCAAATACTAGTAGTTTACGAGTTTCTTCTACTTTTAATGGTCATGTTTCGCTGCCGTAAATTAAAACAGAACGAACTGCCACGCAGTATACTCGTCCCTTAGTCGGTAGACGGATATCTCGCCTTCGCCATAGCTGACGTAAGTTGGCAAAAGCCAAACGAGCTTTTCGAATCCGTGCAGAGATTTTGTCAGAAACCAACCCATTAGGGCTGATCAGACTTCCAAGATAAGTGAAGTTGTCGACGCGTTCGACTACTTCACTCCCTATCATTCGTTCACATGTTGACGCAGGCCAGTCCTAAAGCAATAACTTGCATTTAGAGAGGGAGAAACGCATCTCAAACATCCAGGCATTGTTGCTCAGTTCTATCATAAGACTCTGAACTTTATCAGTCTTCACCAAACAGAACTATGTCATCTGAGTATTCTAAGTCGATAAGTGGACCTCCTGGAAGGAGACCAATTTTTGAAAGTTTAGAAGACGAGAACGTTATTTCCAACAGTAGGTCTATGATGAAGTTGGACAAAAATGGAGATAGTAGACAGCCTTGAAGGACGCTACTTGAGATTACGAAATCAGATGACAGTTCGCCATAAGCTCTGACTTGACTGGTAATGTTCGAGTAAAGAGCCTTCACTAAGTTTATGTACTTCTGAGGTACGCCTTTCAATGACAGACACTACCACAGAACGGTCTGAAGAGTCAAATGCTGCTTTTAAAAAAAGAAAGACCACCATTGTCGGACGTCGGTAAGCATGCCTGTGTTCTAGAACCTGACTTATGGTGAATATGTGGTTGATGAATCCACGACCAGGTCTGAAGCCAGCTTGATTCTCTCGTGTTTGCAGTTCATGTGTCTTTGTTAGGCGTCCGATAATTATTGAGGATAGTATTTTAGATGCCATATTAATCAGACTAATCTCTCTATGGTTATCGCAGGATGGCTTTTACCCCTTCTTATATATTGGGACAATTAGTGATTGCGACCGGTTGGAGGGTACTACATCCAACTCCCAGATTTTAGCTAAAATATTAGTCAACCTAATCGATAAATCTGGACCACCAATTTTAAAGACATCTCGAGCCAATCCATCTGGACTAGCTTATATTGCTCGTTTCAGATTAGCTACAGCTTTCTGAAATTCAATTAGAGTCGGGGGACCTACGTCAATGTTCCATTCAAGCTGTTAGAGAATGGTGGGTAGTTGTAGAATAGCTGAAGACCAGCTGAACTGTTCCTTAAAATGTTCCGTTCTAGACGTCTGGGCTTAGAGCAGATAAGAGTGTCTTTTCCCGAGATCGTCTCACACTTGATTTCTTAGTTCCAGTTTCTTTTACTAGTCTGAAAATTTGTTTTGTGTTGCCTACAGCCGCTGTGTTTTCCATCTCTCTTGCTTTTGTTGCCCACCACTTCACAGCTGTTTCTCAGACTTTTGGTTAACCCACATCTGACTTGTTTTCGCTCTTCATTGTGTTCAGAGCCTGATGGGATGAGTTTACGAGGATCCATCAGTGCAATAGACTTAGTAGAAATCCAATGGTTTTTCGCAACCCTTTGGTTTAAATCACTAATAGATGTCGCTGTTGTTTCCACAGCTGTTCGTATATCTTCCCAAGCAATATATGGGTCTGCCTCTTTTTCAGAACTACCTAAATGTAACCTCAGGTTTTCCTGGAATCTATTTTTGGCAATCAACATTTCTAGTATGTGGAATGGTATTCCAGTTATTTTGAAATATTTCTCGAGTTTCAGATGAGTCTAATTGGCTTCTAGTGATCAGTGCGTGGCCAGAATTGTTTTATAGTTTCTCAAAGTGGTGACGTAATAGCTTAGACTACAGTTAAAAGGACACAAGTCTGTGCACCCAGGATTTAAATAAATCTGTTAAGAATGAATTACCTTAGTCGTCAAGCACAGATACTTGATTTGATACTGAATGGTTGAAGACAATCAGGATGAAGAGCTGAATCTATAATTGATCCGTGTTGTCGTTTGTCATTAAGAAAAGTTTCATAACCCGTGGAAGTGAAGAAAAGGACAAGGGTATCATGGTGATCAGTCCAAGGCATTCAAAAGAAAGGGTAGTGCACTTTGGTGTTAAAGCACTCCTATAAAGTAGCCATACTGCAAGCTTGTTCGATCACCAGTGAAAACTAGATAATTTAATTCTGATCACTCTGCTGTGAACTATCGGTCTATTTTAATAGTTTATAATGCTTACCAGTGGTTTCAAAGATTATGAAACAGATAAAGACTCACGCACTTAGTTGGCTCGGAATATCACAGTTGCGTAGTTACAACATTTTGCTCATAGTCAGACAGAAATCACTACTAAGTAGACGAACAACCTGATACAAAACAGAACAAAATATCATACAACATATTACTGTGGCTAGTTGTGAAATATACATATGCTAATTAAGAAACACCGTAAGATCAAAGACAGAAACACTTAGAGTAACGTTATTTGTCACATCGCTCTGCCTTCAAGATAAATGCATTATATCAGTGGCATAAATGAAGATAAAATTTATCTTATAAACAGCTTTTTTTGAAAAATGTATGAAACTAACATGCAGTAGATATGGATTCGTGGAACTTGCGATTGTCCTATTTTCTTCCTGCTGTTTAGTCACACGGTAAATAATAGTTCTTAATGAGAATCCCATCTGTAATTTAAATGTTTATGAATCTTCAGAATCTGAATACACCTGGGTGTGATTTCAATTCCTTGATTGAAGTTGATATATTTTGATTCAGCATTCCATACCCGCTTATTTAATTTTATCATGGAGCGTATTTCCATATCTGATATGTAGAATCTACATCTTTACGTAAATTTGTTCTTTATTCTGAACTGCATAAGTAATCTTATGTTCATCTATTTTTCAAACTATTCTAGTTTTCAAAGTCATAAATATATTCACTTATTAATCGAGAGTTATTGAAACATGTTTCTTCATACAATGTTACAAATACTCTCTCCCTAAAAGTCATTAGTATGATTACGATTCGTAGAGGTATAGTTCCCTTAATTCTAGTCCTTACGTTTAGTTCTTTAGGGAAACCAGTTCAAAGTTGAAATCAGTGTTCTCAATTTAATATATTCACCACTTTGCTTACAATCATAATTTTTGGTAACATACGTCTGATTTTCTTGTATCATCCAGCTTTGGATAATTTGTAACACGAATATGATTTTATAACATACTAAAAACACACGTTTGAGCATAAAATTTATTGGACAGACCGAGGATTATTGATAATATTGATTGAGACAAGCAAATATAAGACAAACAATCTTATCTACATGCATTCCACTGGCTATGAGCATGGGGAATTCCAATCAGAACGACAAACAAAGAGTGTTGGACTGACACTTAAGCCATAGACATGAGCCATACTAACAATGAAAATATAGCAAGTGAGAATTCGTCTTTCGCATCAGCCACCGCCTCTTATATAGGCGTGTGTGTGTGTGTGTGTTCTATCAAAAAGCCTACATTTCTATTCTTCCACTTACTACTCAGGTTTTTATCTATTGCTTGCCAAAAGAGAAAAACTATTTGATTTGCCCTCCTAAATAGAAAGAAATATTGTGATGAAAAGAAATTTTTCCTATAAAGGTAAGTTAGGGGTTAAAGATTCAAAAGTTAGTTATTTTGAAATCGATAATTATGTCAACTTCTTATAACTCCAGGAAATTTTTAGCTACATCGAACTTGAAATTAATTCGTATACCCGATTAACAAAATGATTAAATATACAAATGATATAAATTTTATTTAATGGAACCTCGATTATTAGGAAGAAACTGTTTGCTACTTCGTTTCTCAGTACATATGATATTCTATAAATCAAGAATAGATTCTAGCCAATGGGTAAAATGACATTGACTCTGAATTAGGTGTTAGGTAATAATATTGAAAATAAATAAATTGACAAAATTTCAGAAGGCTTAAAAACTGGGAAAATACTACAAACGATATTAAGTGTGTCAATTTTAGCCTAAAACAACAAATTTATAAAGTCTAAGACTGACCATATGGTTGATAAGATCCTAAAATATTAGGAAAACACCAATATTCCATGGAATAAAGATACTTCCATCTGATGAGCACTGTGGAATTATGACACTTGTTTATAGCTTCTACTCAACGGGCTTTAATTTAGTGTTTAAAAAGTGATACATTTATTTTATATTCAGCTGGTAGAAGGTTTCATCATTCTGGAAAAATGGAAATAAGAATCGATTGGTTGTGGATAGCAGTGTAATTCAAGATCTGAATTTCGTCCTACTTAGTACTCGTCAGATGAATGTACCTGCAACCCAGTATTGTTGTTTGGCATTGAGAAGTAGTTGATGTGATTCTGATAACTTTGCTATGAACGATCAGTTTATTTTAATAATTTATGCTGCTTATCGCTAGTTTCAAAGACTATGAAGCCGATAAAGACTCACGCAATTGGTTGGTTCGGAATATCACAGTTGTGTAATTTCAACATTTTACTGCTGGATTTCCTTGCTAACTACAGACTAGATATTCTATATAACTTATGACAAAATAGTAATTCATGCAGGATGCTCAACAAGGGCTGGTCAAAATGCAGTCAACAACATAAATAACAAAATAATCTAAAGTTTTTCTACTAATGATATGGAAGCAAGAGTATGATCCCGTTAGAATCCAACTTCTAGCACAAAACAGAATGAATCATTGGTTCTACGTAGTTTTTGGATTTCGTTTGCTCAATTTTAAAATGATATGCAGAATCCTCGGTAAATTTGATGTCTGTTTCTTAATTGATAAAAGCCTCGATCTGTGAAGTAATCAGTCAATACAAAGGCCCATGATCTTGTGTTAACACGTTTCAAAAGTAAGAAATTCAAAATGAATGGTCAGTAATAGTTACAGAATGTAAACATGGAAAATCACTGTCACTATTATTGAACGACTAGATCAATCAGTACCATATGAGCGATTGTTTGAAGACACCATGACATATTGACATACGCTGAATACAAAATATTCGTAAATTAGAAAGATCATAATAAAAGCAAACAAATTGAACAGTAACTAATTTGAATCACAGTCATTCACATCAGAAGTAATTTATGTTAAAATTGGAGGAAATAACGAATAAACTGCATTATACAAAGTATATCCATTAAATGCTGCGGTCACATCATATTACTAGTGTCATTTAATTGAATACTTGGAAGAATAAGTATTTTTAATCATTATTTTCACTTACTTAGAAACAGTTACACGACAACATTTTTTAAACACAAATTGTGTTCAGAATTCAAAAAGTAGGCTAGTCAAAATGTGTCACTATACAAACTGTCAGTATTTGATCTGTCAGATAAATAATACTTTTAAGTAAATGATTTTATGTTCTCAGTTTAAATAGATCTTTTAAATAAAAGTAAATGTTGAGTAAATTAAGTGTTAAAACTCAGATGCTGCATCCTTGGATAAATTATATTTCAGAAAGCAAATTCAAAATACTTGTGTTAATTCAGCATTCAAATTCGTATTTACTAGCCTCAAAGACGTTAAGAGGGTGAAAACAGAATCAATAGTTATCTACCTAAGTAACATTAGTAAACACCACAGTTTCTTTCTCTTCATTTTTCAAAAACAATAATAAATTCAGTATAAAATGAATTTCTTCTTTCTTAATTAGTTATTTCTTTGCAAGACAAACTTATCTTTGACAATATCCCTGCGCATAACTCAACATTAAGAAATCTTTCAAGTATTTTCATCCTAACTGAAGTCTTAAACAATTTCTTGTTTATTGATGGATACCTTATTTTCATATCAGTTATTAACTGTTTAAATTATTTAAACTTATCAAATCGAGTTCAATCTCATGCCAAAGAATAATTGTTTACTGTAAAATTGTCTTGTTAATGCTGTGTTTAGATGCATCAATAACAGCGAAAAATCTCCGTTTGATTAAAAATTTTCATATTTAAACACAACATTCAGGAATGAAATCGTTATTATTTGAAAATCAGACGAATATTTTATGACGTATGTTCTGATCATGAAAAGCAAATAATACACTAATGCAAACATTCGATATGTGTAGACATTAACGTTCATTTTAAAATTAGTTGTCAACGTAAGTCTGAAGGCTAATGAATAGGTTTTCATTTCAATACCTTAAAATGAATTTAGTAGTTTTTGTCTCGCTATAAGCACTGATGAAACGTTTCAAGTGACAAGAGAAATGTGTTATATACTCACTAGATTTAGTTAATCTTCCAAACCATATTCACTATTTATGGTGAAAACGTTTTTGAAATGAATAATCATAATCGAATTCGTCTTCTGAATTAATTAACTAGTGAAGGGTGATGAACCAATATGAATACTAAACTACAATAGGATGTTTGTTTGAAAATTGAAAAAAAATGATAATCTGTGCATAAGGGAGACATGAACAGCGAAGCATGTAAAAGCGAGGATTTTCCTGATTTAATTTACAACAAACTAAGTTTAGTATAAGTGGGCAAATGTAATGTTTAGGTTTATATTATAAGGTGATGGCTACAATTCTTCGGGTTTACTTCACTTTTAAATGCATAGATTTGATATTCCTAATTTACTCTCTTTGATAACTCAAGTTTCTTGAAACTTTAATCTTAGTTGGGTAGATTGACAAATTATAAAATAATTATTTAAAAAATTAACCGAAAAAATGAATGAGAATCTTAAGTTACTAGTGAAAAGTTTAGGTGATTTATAATTCATAGGCAAGTGAATCATAATTACACAACAATCATAAATGTTTAGCATTTTTACGATAAATCACAGGGGTTTTATGCAACTGAATAGCCTGTAATAATTTATTTTGATCCGGAACATATTTAACCTTATAAATTGCATTTGTATATATGGATGTTATTCATTTAAGGATCTTACAGTTTCGACAACAGTTAGTAATCATAGGCAATTAAAAATTCACTAACACTTGTCTATAGGATAGATGTAGGGGGATTAAAAGGTATAACTAACAAGTGGAATATCTTTAAACCACAGCTTACTAGAAATTATTCAATTAACTACCGCGCACTCTCAGCAAGTCTATTTCTTTCACAACAACAGTAAGATAATGTAATGCCTCTAGTTTATTTCCTGTGCAGTCAAAAATTGTTCCCGAAAATCCTAATTAATGAAATAAGCGCTGCTGAATTTCTGTTTCAATGAATTTTTCATAAATGTGTAACTGATAATTTTATTTTCTGGCTTCACTAGAATTTAAACAGTGTCAACATCGAAATTTCAAGTCATTAACAAACTGTTGCTACTACTATCATTTATGGTTGGCGGAAATCATTATTATGTGTATATTCATTTTGTATAAGGAACTGTTACGTCAAGAAATCATTTTGAAATAACGCAAATATTATTAAAGTAAACAACATGTTTACCAACTACTTTCATAAACCATTTAAAACCCGCTTTATAGAGTATGCATTCGGTCATGGTTGTGTGTCATTAATTTTTGCGATCGTGAATATTTAAGTTTCTTCATATTCATTTTCCAAACTAACCCACATTTTCCCAGGAAATCCCAAATAATTTTTTTCCATCTAACTGTGAAATACAGTGTTCTTTTGAGGTTTTTTACATAATTAAATCCTTAATTATTTTCTTCTTTGATTGGAAATACCAGATTAGCCTAAACATTTGGTGGTATTGAGATAAAAGACAGGTAGAAAAGTAATACTTGAAGCCTTTTCATCATCATAGTAACGAAATACATGATTAATACATACATCTCGACTGACTATAATTAAACTCAGAAAATCATTGTCTTTTTATAATAGCACGACAAAAACAGCAAAATTAGCAATTGTCACAGGTTCCTTTAACACCATTCAGTGAGATTTAAAAATTCAGTCGAAGTTTATATTCCTTCCGTTATATTTTAGAAATGTCACTAACTTTCTAGTTCTAACGACAATTGGATAGAAAAGATTGGTATTTTAGTTAAGTAAATAAGTCTGACACGATATTCAACTTACATAATGTTCTCTGCTGAATAAATCTAAGCTTGCTCGCAGTACGATAAGCTGCAAAGCGGATGGAATCAAACTGCTTGGTACCTAAAAGTTAAAATGAAAACAGTACATTGGGAAAGGATTAGTCAAGCATTTAGTAAACAAATATTTTTGATAAACAGACAGACAACTTAACTTCACCGGATAAATTAACTCTTAGATGAAATCTAAGCGATTAATACAAGTACTTGTTTAGTTTTTGTAAATTACATTCTATCTAGAAACCGTATACGTCAGCGTATTTTAAACCTATATTATATTAAAGACAGCTTATGACAAAAGCGTGTTGACAACAATTTATGCATCCGAGCTTTTGACCTGACTGTAATGAAGTAATAAAGCATAGACAACTTCATCCTGAGTTAGTATAGAGTTAGTAATCAATGTGTGAACGTTATTCCCTCGATCCTTGACCAAACAACAAAACTTTTTTACACACATTTCCTTTAAAACAACGTTAACAACAGGGATAAAATGACCAAGTAGGAAACTTTTAATTTCAGTAGATATGAATAAAACTGTTGAAGAATCTGGCACTAAATAATACGTATCGACATAAGAAATGCAAAAGATGACGTTTCTATACACTTTTTTATACTTTCGTAAAGCTGTCTTGTTTTCCTGAGCATAAAAATTTCAAACAGCATGGAAAGAGGTGGGTTAATTTATAACTGGATTAAAAAATGAGTCACTAATGGTAAACTGAAACAAGATTTGAAAAAAAAGGGAAGTGAGGCATAGATTCCAGCAGTAGGATAGAATTTGCATTGATCAACGAAACAAATTCAATTTTTCTGAAATATTACTAGTGTTTATAATGAACCCAATTAAGGAGACTAAAAAAAGCTGGAAGCCTAATAAAAGTCCGTATTTCCTCTACACTTTTATTTTTTTCTTCTTTGTTTCAAGAAGGACCTAATAGTTCTCATAAAGTATTTGAATTAAGTTTATTGAGTGTATTATTAACTCACATTTGTTAACAGACACATTTTTTGGAACACAAAAAATTAGTCGAAATGATTATGTAAGCAGCTACTTAATTTGTGGTCTTTGTATGTTGAGAAGCACCAACTTTGTTCAACTCAAAAGAATGTAGTGTTGTTCATTCTATTCATACTGCTAAACGTTAAGATCCATCTTTCTGGGATACAAATGTTCAGTGAGAAGCAAATTAACAACCAGAAGTATGCCAAGCATTCTTAGTAGTAAAACTTCTGGGATATCAGTCGGTTGTGAGATATTTCAAAGCGACTATCACAAAACTTTAAGATAAGACAGGATATATTTTATCATGAATTGATGACGACAGCTAAGTGCAATGTTTCAAAACATTCCGAAATTTATATCCTTTCCCACTCTGAATATAAGTTAGCTGTAAGTTAAAAACTTTTCAACTAAAATGCATTACTTTTAACTCTTTCTCGTGTATCCAGAACATTATATTATATCTCGAAAAGATTTTTCATCGCGTTTTATTTTATTTAGCCCTTCTTCTTACTATTTAACAAACATTAATCAGAATTTATTCCAAATATTTGGGATATCATATGGTCTGTATTGTTGAATATTGGCTACTGGGTTTATGGTTTACTGATAAATGGATCTTTGTAAATGTTTACAAAATCTGCTTACATTGAAACTCACGACTTAAAGCTTTATTAATCTATGTGGATTACATTCAGGTTCACTAACACAAATGAGATTAAATTAAAAACAAAATCATGCATAAGAATTTGATAGTTTCTGTATATTACACCGTATCAATTATTAAGCAGTTTACTTGTCCAGCTGATTCAGTGTCTATATAAATGGATTGGACGTTATGTTATCACTGGTGACCGTAGGAAGACGTCATATATTCTGGACTACTTTTATTCAGTGGCGTGCATTAGTAAAATATATCACATCAACTTAAAATTGTAAGTAAACTAAAAATTTGGTTCGCCAGAGATTTGTTGGAATGCCAGCTGTGCCAAACACCTATTGAATACTGTAAACTTCAAATGTGACAAGATGTCCCACAAAATGACTACGTTTTATATGATACAATGCTATTTTAAAGTTTGGCTAAAACTGACTGATCCTCTTTTAAGGTGCTAAGTGATCTTTCATATTTAATATACAAAGTCTAAAATCAATTGCTTTGAGCAGCTGGCAAATTTGCACCAAAAAGTTTTTTAATGATAAATGGTGCGTTTCGCAAGTAACTTCATCGGGAAAATTTAGTTGGGAAGATAAATTTTATTACAAACTGGTATTAAAGTGAACGAGATCCGAAGTAGGGAAAATCGAAATATTATCTAACTCAAAATTACAGAGTTATTTGGTACAATTTGAAAACCATACATTAAATGCTTTACTTGGAAATCTCCTATCAATTGTCCTAAACTCCATCATTCTTTCATTGCTATTACAAATACTCTCTGTTTACATTCCCACTCCCATCAATTTGATCTTTTCAACTTTCTGCTACCAAGCATTCCACTTCTGACTGGTGTTACATATTACTTATGTCTATCGACATAAGTAGCACACACTACATTACTAAGAACCACTAAATATCAGAAAGCGTAAGATAGTCGTTTTTACTATTTCTACACTACTAACAAGAGGACGCCTACGAACCAATGGGGGCTCGAACACACTACCTTCAGGTTCTGTGATGAGTACATTTTCAAACCGAACGCTTGATGTCGTCCTTTATACATATGATGGAAACAACAACAAACTCTTAACCATCCAGGAATACTACAACTTATAAGAGTAAGATTGACTGTTTTGCTGTTTTATCTGTGTAGTCTAAATCCAAATCAACACACCATATAGTGGTTCTCATGGTGAAACAGACATGACCTTCGGGAAGGAGAATATAGAAATACCAAAATCTATTGATTATATCTTATTCAGTTGTAACAAGCACTTATAGTGATACATTTAAACACATAGAGAGGGAATACTGTCTACTATATGAAGTATTTACATACAACATATTCCCTGTGCCACGTGCAAAATCACGCTCAATAGCATATGTAATTAAATACGTTAGATGGATAACATCACAAATCAATCTGGATAGTTGAAAGATACATCAGATAAGTGGAAACTAAAAGTTACACAAAGTTTACGAAACTTTTCTAAAATAGTGGCTAGATTTTGTATAAAGTTTTGTCTACTGATTAAGCAAAATATTTGAATCAGACTTAATGTCGACTGGAATTTAGTACTTCATTTCAACTGATTCTCCGCATACAATATATTGGATACTGTTTATTGTAATACTATCACATTACAAACTTTGAAATTTGTCATTGAACAGTGAGGACATTTATTTCAAACTTATTAGTCATGATCTTTAATGGATAGTGTTCGCATATGTAATAACCATTTGGTCGTAATCAGGATCTATATATCAAGGACACATACCACTGAGTAGGTCATGTACAGAAAGACTTGCATTCAATACATTTACTGGTAGTCTGAACTTTAGTGAAAATAACTCTCAGACTGCTGAATTTTACTCATTACTTACTGAACGACGTTTCACAAAGGAAGTCAGTGCAAATCATTTGGAAATATCAAAGGTAAAAGGACATACTACTTTACTTGGAAATAATAAGTTGGCTAGCAAGATCAGAGAAGCAAGCCCCAAGTTTGAAAGGACACTTGGAGGAGGCAGTTCTAATAATTGGGAATTAATTTCTTCACACTGATGTTGAACTTGACTTTGGATAAAAAACCTCTCAAGTGGTAATTAGGTGAATTTCCCCTCGTTGATTGACGATGCTGGCTTGTTTATGAGATAACAAAAACGATATGTAATTTTGGCTTAAATTAACAGTAGTCTTATGTCATTTGTCGTTTGTTATTTTACAGTAAGTATTTCATCTTAACAACACGTAACTTCATGAGCACTAATCTGACTATAATCGTCCACGATTTCACATTGAAACCCAACAAATGTTAACGTTTGTGGATGTAGTCTATTGTCTAATAGTGTTAGCCGCCAACAGAATGTGTTTTGAAAACTTTATTGTAAATAATGATGACAGCTTAGCTAAGGTGGAAATTTTTTTAGATTAATTATTATTTCTTCTTTAGGAGTTTTAACCAAATTGTGACTGTACTCAGTTTACTAACAACTTGAAAATGAGACAGTTTAATGAGAACTGAAAACTTATGTTAGTTGATATACCAGATAATCTAGTAGAGCTTAAAATACATTTATGAGACAGCTTGGATTATTCTAGCCTAATTTTAACGTTTATGATTCTGTGCGAAACCCATTCCATCCAGTCTCGATAGAAAATATTAGCTTCGAGGGAGATACTGTTGTACTCTGACCATGAAGAACAAAACGCCCTGCACACACAGGGAGTTGGGTTGACGTTTTCAAACAAGCATGAAAAGCACTTATAAGATGAGAATCTCATGGATCCAGAATCATCAAAGCATTCCTCAAAACAAAAGAGGAGGGGATTACAATGAGTGTCGGCGAACGCTACTCTCCCACCAATGACAGCAGTGTAGATGATAAGGATCAGTTTTATGAGAGGCTGCAGTCAATCGTAGAGAACTGCCAATGCAAAGACCTGGCAATTCTGATGATGGTGAACCTGAACATCAATGTCGGTATGGATAACACTGTGTCTGAAGACATCATGGAGCGACATGAACTGGGAGAAAGAGGAGGAGAATGGTGAGAGACTGGCAAAGCTATGCGCTATCAACGACGTTGTTGTAAGTGGCACTATTTCAACTAAATGACATATATAAAAGTTAGATGAGTTTCACCGGACCACAATACGTAGAAGCAAACTGGTCACATTTGTATCACTGAAGAATTCAGAAGGTCTATGGAAAACTCGAGAACAAGGAGTGGAGCTGACATAACTTCAGGTTCCCACCTGGTTGTAGCCAGGGTGAAAATGAAACTTAAGATGCACTGGAAAACTGGAAAAATAGCATTACAAATGTTTAATATAGTCTTTCTTTGAGATACTAACAAACTCAACGAAATCAAGATTGTTATCAGTAACACCTTACAATCCTTCCAGATCTACTCAAAGAAGACGAGATTATCATGGAGAACAATCGGAAAGGGATAAAAAAACTTCAACGTGTCAGGAGGCAGTAAGCCTCAAGAAGCAATGGATCTCTGTCGAGACCCTATCAAAACAGGATTCAAGAAAATAAAAACAAGAAATCGGCAATCAGTAGCAGTCGGACAATAGGAGAGAAGGCCGAGGCACAGACCGAACACACAAGCGAAGAAGAAAGTGAAAATGAGCATTAGAACCGAAAAGCGAGAATACATGGAAGACCTAGCAGTGACAGAGAAAAATCAGCAAGAGGAGAAAATAGGAGACAACTGTGAGATACAACGAAGAAAGTAGTAGGGAAATATAGTTTATCACTATACATCAACTTTCTTGACTATGATAAATCATTTGACAATGTGGACAGGTTAACCTCATGGAATTTTCCTCGACACTAGGGTGCACCAGTAAACATCATCAACATCAAACGGAATTCATACGACGAGCTACAGTGCAAAGTCGTCCACGGAGAACAGCTCACATATGCATTTCAAGTGAAGATCGGTGTCACACAAGGCTGCTTACTCGCCCTTTCGCTTCATTGTGGTGGTTGACTGGATTATGACGACCACCGCATCTCAGGGGGAGTACTGGATATAACGGACTTCTTGGATGTGGCTATAGTTTGAACTTCTCAGATGACTTAATTCTTATATCTCATACACACTAACAAATGCAGGTGAAAACAGCCAGTGTAGTAGAAGTATCTACACCAGTGGTCCTCAACATGCACGACGGAAAAAGGAAGGTCTTAAAATACAATGCAGAGAGGACCAACATTCCTATAACTGGAAAATATATGGGACTCAGACCCAGCGCCAAACAACGCCAGTCAGAATGTTCAATACAAACGTCAAGACAGTCCAGTTGTACGGAGTCGAAACTTGGAGAACTATTAAAACCATCATCAAAGTGGTACAGGTATTCATAAAACATTGTTTACGCAAGATATCCCAAATCTGTTGGCCGAATATCATCAGCAACAGTCTACTTCTGGGTAAAATAAAAAACTTTCAGACGAAGAGGAAATAAGGAAGAGGCTCTGAAGTTGGAAAGGATATGGGGAAAAAACCGAAAAGGAGATCCAAGAACGAAGGTGGTTGTAGAATCGTGGTAAACAGTCTATGCTGCTCCAAGAGAGGTAGCAAGTGTAAGTAAGAATCAACTTTGGCACTGAACGTACTTGACATATATCAGCATACATCACCAAATTATGAACCTCATGAATGATCTACAGGTGCTACTTTATCAAAAACCATGTGTATTTAATGCATTTGATTACGTTTATGTTGAAATATCAAACCGTTGGGATTCAATCCCCTTCTATTCATCATATTTCTTTTTCAAATTTCTCAGTGTACATTAAGTACTCTTAAATGGTTTCCCATTATTTTTCTTGTTCAAAATTGTTTAGTCTTTTCAGCAGTTGCTTACACATGATTCTTTATGGCAAAATGGCAAATAACTAGAGGTCTTTGAAATCGGTTTTGTTTAGTAAGATTACAGCACTTCTAAAGTTTATTCCAGAATTCCAGATAATATTTGTGACAACACTTACTATTCATGATTCTCCATAAAAGGCCGTTAAGCTCAAAGTTTCTTGTTTATAATATTCATGTGTTAAGCAGTTATTACAATAAACCAAATAAATGGTGACTTACGCATCTCCGCTAATAGTCGTCTAAATCCCAAGGAGGCTGGATTTGGTGAAATAAGGCTGGGGTTTTGCAAGCCTGATCTGACTGGTCCGGCTTGTATAACGTTTAAGGGGCTTTGGAAAACAGGATTAGAACCTCTTTGTTGTTGGTGCTGTAGCATAACTTGCTGCGAATGACCTGAGTTTGTTAAATGTGAAGGAACAACTTGAGAAGTATTTTGATCCATAAGCACTGGCGGTCCGCATAGATTAGGCCTAATCCACGTTGTTGATTGGCTGTCAATCTGTTGTGCTCTCATTGAGAAGGGATGAAGGCTAAAACATCTACTCCCAAATATTATACTATTTTACGAAAGTGTTCTTTATGATAAAGAAAAGAAAAAAGTTTAAACCTTTTAAGACAGGAACAGCATATATCTAGGTACTTACCAGTATAACACTACAAAAGGAGTATAATAAGTTCAGAATAAATCTTAATTTTAGTAATCGTCTGCTATTTGTCAGTATCATGTTACCAACAAACAAAATAAACACTGCACGGTAAAGAATCTTTCAATATATTATTGTGCTTTTTCATTACCTTTTATATCAAACTGTCAAAATTCTATCATTACAAACCTTTAGTATACAATTAGCTCATTTTTATGATAAACATGGGGAAATATAAAAGGCACATTAACGGTTGGTTGCTTTGAATTACTCGTTTTTGATATATCTGATGTCAATAGAAGTGTCTTAGATATGTGCTTAAGTAGAAACATTTCACATGAATTGACGTTACTCGTACTTTGATTATTGTGTGATAAAACGTTTCAGTATCTTTCTCCACTACTTGTAAGAGAAAGAGATCTACCTATAAATAAGCACTTTTTCACGTTTAGTAATCAGATTTTAAATTATTTGGTTAGTTGTGGACATATAGATTAGACTGCTTTCCCGGTGAATAAAAAGAGGGAATGTGTGTTTACCTATGTAATCTGTAGGTTTATAAATGCAATTATCAAGAAAGACAGTATTTCTGAGTTAATTCGAAAAAAATTTTATTTCCGCTAAAACAGTCGTACTAAGAGTGTGAAACTACAAAAACAGTTTATTCAGGGTTATGAAAATTAAGTAACAACAACAATAAACGTAGGAAATTTGATTACTCTTCTTGGATGATGCGACTGAATTAATACTTAAGGTCTAAGATACCTAAGATATATTTTAGGGCACGAAATTCCCCAAACTGATGATATATAAAGAGCATCATAGACTCAGTATTTTTAGGACAACATATATAAGCGAACAATATTGTTTTCGATTTGATCCTCATCAGGCTTTGCTCTAATATACAGTAATATTTATATGCATTTACGAACATTTAAGACTGAATAATCCAAGAAGCGCAGTAAAAATAAACTGAAAGGTACATTACCGATCGGTCAGTCATAAACAATTTAGAACCTTGTACAAATAAGTTCTTGCTCAAAAAGTTAAGTTTTATATTAAGATAGAAACGGGTGAATCGTAATATCATAAATGAGATTAACAGGTTAAAAATTCTAATGTATTTTAAAACAAAAAAAGGATTATGGAATGAAATATATCGGGCTGTATCAGGATAAAGATTTTGAGAAAATTATAAGTAAACACAGGCAAACCGTTGCGACTGTCCAAAAATCAGTTCACAAAAAGTCTTGGTTTAAAAATAAAAAAACAATTGCTTATATATGTCCGGAGACATTTATTTACATAGCCAGTGTTACGATTAAAAAAATGTACTTCTACGCTAGCTGACAGCAACTCAGTCAATCAGGGGTCTAAAATAAATATATGCGTAAGGTATTCAAAATCGGAGGCTGATTCAAATAACACTGACTTATAACCAATACCATGAACTCAAAAGTAACTAATATTTCAAGTGTTTACAATATATTAAGCTTAAAAAATTACTTGATTACACTTTAAGATGCCCCACCAAACTAAATCGACTGAATGATGTATAAATGCTTATACTTACTTGTTTGACTAATTAAGATTTACGAGCAACTTCAAAAAATGTATTGGATCAACAGCATTAAGTAAACGGTAGAGAGAAGTTGGTCATCTAGACTGTAAAGTGTAGTACACATGAAGACGTCTTGAGTATTATCATTTTTGCAGTTTCTAAAGTATGATCAGAACAAATGGCTTTGCTGCAAAATATAGTGTCAATTCCGAGCTATTAGTGAGATAAATTAGCATTTTTGGCTAGCCTTTTGACATACGGTTATCAAAATACCACGAACGTTGGTTCAATAGTTTTGTCATTTACCAACACCACTTTATACTGGGATATTTCCAATGTGAATATTATTTACTCATGTGATCAGATCGTCACTAAGCCTGTAAAACACTACCATTTACAAAAGACGGATAACCTAAGATATGACGAAGTCATAATGTACACTAAACTAAGTAATCATCGACTTAATATAAATTCCTTCTCTTTTATCGACATCAAAGTACAACAAGTGTTGAACCGAAAAGTAAGAATAACTCACAATCATTTGAAGTGCAGTTTTTCCGTCATACAACAAAATACTCAGACATCCTTTTTGTTTTTAGTAATCTTGTTATTGCTACAAATGTTTTACTAGAATAAACCTAAAAATATAGCAGGCACAATAAACTAGTTATGTCAAAACTCATCATTACATGACGCGTCATAAACAAATAAAATGCTGTATCTTAGTCAGAATGACATAATAGTACGGCCCAGGCTTATGAAATTCAATGATCTGAAATACTGAGCTGAGCTTGGAAATGTTTAGTGGGTAGAAACATCACAAACTTAGACTACAGTCATATAAGGAGGTTCTTCAGACGCTGAATTTTTAAATAGTCAGAACCATGAAGAAATAATGTGAACTAGATGTTTTTGTGAACTATAAACAAAGAAAACAAGGCAACTCCCTGTTGATATGATGTAGATAACAAAGAATTATAAATAAATAAAAGTTAATATTATGAAATCGCAGTTTTAAAGACAAACTACTGCAAAACGGGAAAAGTACAAAACGTTTACATAGCTGAAAAAACTAAATGATCATGACTTGCGACAGTCTCACCAAATATGAAAAAGCGACTGTTACATCAAGTACATACGATGAACAAAAAGTGGTGCAAACAAACAAAATTACGTAATGCACATTTCGTAATGTAGTTTCACTTGCTTTTCATCATCAAGCACTATGATGCTATTGCAGTTATTTTTATGCCCCACTTTAAAAGCAAATTTTTTATGAGGAGGAATACTCTTTACGCATGAAATAGGAATTATTGTAGCGGTAAATTGATCCCCAGAATAAATAGTTCTGAAAGTCTTCGACATTGACGCTGACCCCAATAGTTTTATTAGAGACACCTAGCTGAAGGTGCTCAGCCATTCATCCACACCAGATCACGAGAAGGTAAGCCTAGCAACGCATCCCGTGTAATTGTCAAACAGTTTGTAGCGGTAAATAAGTCCTCAAAATAAATAGCTCTGTAAGTTTTCGACGTTGGATGCTGACCAGATTAGTTTTAGTAGACTCACCTAGCTGAAGGCGCTCGGTCAGGCATCCTCACCAGATGACGTGTGGTAACGCTGTACTCAACATCTACCGCAATCGCTAGCCAGTTTAGATCAGAGAATTCCGATATATTGGCAATCGCCAAATACACTCTTCCGATCTCCTCAACTCTGTTTTTTGATTTCTCTTGGTGGGTACGAATTATATTAGAAGGTGTTGCTGGTAAAAGCGTTGTCAAACACTGAATGTCTGTGCCATCTTCAAGCTTAGACTAGATGCTTCAGGATACATTGATAACCTTCCGAAAATATCTTTGAACTGCTTAGTTTCTGACTTTTGATTTCAATGGGTCGGCTTGCTTCAGTCATAACGGTGTTACGAGTAAAACACTTGTAAAACTCCGAATACATGTGGCATCTTTACTACTCAGTAACTAAAGAAAATTTCAAATCGATGGCTCAGTGAATACTCAAGAATCACTTTGTTTAGTTACCACTGAATAACGTCACGAAGAAACAACCAAAACTTCAAAGTACTGTGGGATTTGAAAGAATAAATATGCAGGTGGAATTTCTCAGGTGTGTCTGAAGAAAATGCCTCATAATCACAGGCAGACATATAACTTTGCCCAGTATGGTTAATACATTTAGCATACATTCAGCTTATAAACTTCATCTTCTCATTGCATTATCGAAAAATACATTTAACAGAAAAATAAATGTTTTATGGACTGTTTCGGTCTGTCTTCATGATGCAATAAAATTTGACTTCTTGCCTGCGTCCTATCTTAGTTCCAGACCACTTAGGGAAACTAGCAAATCGTTAGACCACTTCAAATTAAAGAAAATATTTCTAATTTTACGATATTCTGTGTTCCCAGTGTATTGAACCATGGTTGATACATGTTAAGGTGAATCATTACAACGTAGGCGGAAAATTGTGGTTCTGAAATGTGTCTTTCAGCAATTCCTCTCAGAAACACAAATTAAAGTTAAAAGAAATGTATATTTCAGTGTAGGTGAGGTTACAAAAGTCCCAGAATTATCCGTTGGGTATTTACGAGTGCATGAACCCTTCATGTGGGTTTGTGTCGGTATTTTATGGCCAACATTCAGTTATTGATCCACAACATTTTAGCCTTCTATTTTCAACCCTAATTGTAGTAGGGAGTTGCCTGCAGCTACGGTTCTCTCCTTACTTTGTGGAACTATGAAGAGTTCCGAATTATTTCACCTACGAGTTGAAGCTCAGTATGCTTACTGTTAGCGGAATTTGTTCAGATAACTCACTACTTCAAGACGTGTACTGGGGAGTTGCATAACAAACATAGATATGCATATCACCGACGTAGATGTGTCGAATGACTAGGAGCTTACTTGAGTTAGACGAGAATGGTGTGACCAACCTGCAAACGTCGTACTCACATCTCACGGCTAATACCTAAAGTGGATCACCCTTTCCTTGTATCCAGGCATTAATTCTGCTTTAATGAACCTGCAACACAAACAACGTTTTTTACAGAAATATTTTAATAAGGTTATATACAAGGTACAGAGTGCTATCACTGATGCATGGGCGAGTCCATGACGTGCAATAAATCGATGGGCCTTAGTTGTCCTCGACCTTGATAAGAATCAGTGAACCAGTTATACCATTAAATCAAATAAAACATTTCGGCTGTAGAGCACGGATTGTGAAAAGTAATGAAAAGAGTTAGAAAACCGCACAGTTTTCCCAGAGACTTTCGATCTTGTTAGTTTGTTAGGGCTTGATAAAGTGTTCTAGCTAACTCCGGATGAAGAAACTGACCAATGTTTATTAAAGCAATCCGACAAAATGACAAGAAAGTTGAGGATTTACATATGAAATATAGAAAAAAGCCAAGAAGTGCAATCTACTCACTACTTAGTCGCGGCAGAGTGTTGTTTACGAAATAAGGAGAACGAAAAACGAATGTCAAGGGCTTTAACCGGGTTGATGGGTACGGAGATCCACTTGGGAGAGATGGCAAACGCTGATTCCAAACCAGTGGTGCACATGGGCTTCACGATCCTGAGGGAACAAATGGCGCATGGACCTATTGTTGGTCACTGACCACCATGGGACTGCATCTCCTTACGTTTCTCCACTACCTAGCGGATTAGACCTTCAGGTCAAATGTCCGAATGCGGCCCCCTAATAAGACCATCTGTTTCGGTTTGGGCACCCAGGTAGTATCACAGCCCTCACACAAATCAATGATAACTACACCTGGGAAGTTTCCTCTTGCTTCAAAGCTCATGCAAATCTTATAAACAATCATATGATAACATTCGTTTTTATCTCTTCTATACCACATCACTTATGTAATTTATTTTTCACTTTACACAGCAGCTCGCCTATGGTGAAAACTCTATCCTATTTAAACGATCTCGAGTCACTGACAGTTCGAAAGTTGAATGCTACCACCGACTACAATCTCACCATTCCCCCTCGACATTGCTATGGATCACGTTCTAGAAACAGCTCTGATGGATGTAGGCAAAGATGGTGTGGATCTAATGCCTATGAGAAGAATTTTAGATTATATTATCTTGCTGTGCGACGATACCCAAGCAATGCAATCCGCACCTGATCAGTTGACAATCACTATCCGTACGTATATCGTGTGCTCTGTATCTTCTAAGCGCAAAGTACCCTCATAAGACTTACAGCACGCTAAACCTGCACTCTCCCTTGGTAGTGGGCGGATAGAAGTAGTCGAGAAGTTCGTGTATCTAGGTAGCTGCATAAGAGCTAGTGGTGACGCGAGTGGTGAGATAAATGCACATATAGTGAAAGCCAGAGCGGCTTATGCCAATCTGGGCTATCTTTTTCGCCTTCGTGATGTTAGTCTGGCTGTAAAAGGTCGGACCTACAACGCGTCGGTGAGAGCAATTCTGCTCTATGTCTATGAAGCCTAGCATCTTCGAGTTGAAGATGTTAGATCATCGTTGTCTCCGAAGGATTGCTAACATCCAGTGGCAACACCATGTTAGTAATGCAGAGGTTCGGCATCGTGCATCCGGGCACAGATATGATAATTCGATTGATGTCATCATCTTGAAACATCGACTTCGATGGCTTGAACACGTCTTACGAATGTTGTCCTAGCGAATTCTACATCGTGCATTACTTGCCGACACTTGAACCGCTTGGAAAACCGGAAAGGTGGTCAGTGCATGACACAACGTCCTGGTGTGAAAGATAACTGTACAGAACTGGCTGTGAGACTTGATTTATGAATTAGTCCTTAATGACCTTGAGAAATATTAGTCAATCAGAATACAGTTAAATATATTTAACAAAGCCAAATAGTTAGAGTGGATGCTCTTCTTACACAGGTTTTAAACATTTTCAAGGTTAGAGAGAGGCTCAGATGTTCTGCAATAGTAGTGCATACGATGTAAGAACTCATCCATATTACTCCATAGTTGTAGACCTCTGGAGCCATGATGAGGTCGCTAAAACTCTTTCAGGCTCGACCACATAGCTTCAATATTATTTGTGTGCACGTGGGTTGTTAGGTCTACAAAATACCGCTTGTGGACAACCATACGGTGCATATAATCAAATCTATGTAGGCATCGGTCACAAAACTCAACCATTTTCCCGAATCTCCCAAGCGACTCGTGTAGGCTTGTCCTTTTAACTGGGCATATATCTCTACAATACTCATATCAGTGAACAGCCGAAGCTTCGGTAACGTCTGCAAATGTTGTAGCCAGTGTTATTGATGCTTTTATTATCCAGTTCTCAACAATCATCATAGTTTGCCTTAGTCTCATTCTAGGTCGAGCAAAAATAGTTCATCTACTAGCAGACTTTGTCTTCCAACAAATATTATATCGAAAAACAGCATCATGATGGTAGTCTGCACAAGGTCCATACGTCATTCAATCATCACGATCACAAATAAAGGAAATTCCTAGTAGTCGTTTTTGTTGTACCCGCCTAATTACAATGTCTTCTCTAGAATCTGATGTGAACCGACAGTGTGTGAACATCAGGCACTGAAATCGGCGCAGAAATTTTGAAGTCTTTCTAATGCTTTGAATTGGCTCGTGAATAAACTCTAGTGTCGCCCACTCTGGTTATATTTTTGTTAACTGAACTGTTTCTTCCCTTATTATTATTTCACTTTTATACACTAATTCCTGTTCGTCGTAGTTCTTCTTTTATTAAACACACTTTACATTATCTATCTTTTTACAACCTCACTGTTATTATGTGGCAGGTATGTATTTGGTGCCCCCTGTACCAATTTTTATGTGTTAAAAGAAATAAAAGTTTCTTCTAAGCAGTGTTGTTCTTTGAACTTACTCCCTTAGTGCATACTGTGTACTTATTACTGATGTATCATTTCTGGGTGTTGATGCCGTGCTGGAATAGGAAGGTAGACCAGTAATCTGTGTTTCACGCAAACGTATTGTTGCTGAACATGGTTATTCGCAAACTTAACAAGAAGCATTATATGGGCTTCGGGCTGTTAAAAGACTTCAGGAAGATTTATTTGGAAATAAATCCACGATTGTTGTATACCATGAAGCTTTAAAGTTTATTTATCATCCTGAAA